GCACAATAGACCCCCAGATCCCCTTATATTATCCTTTGTTTTAGGTCAAAGGAAGGCTCCAATAGTTTCTTTTCTCTTGAGATCAATAGAAATGTTTTCTGCAGAGATAAAAGAACTTAAGTATTTGACAGAAGGAGGAGCTAATTTTAAATTTTCTGTAGAAACTTTATGTCCACCAGTAGTTAAATGTTTTAACAAAGTGATGCAGTTTTCTAAGCAAGCTTGCCAAGAGGTGGAGCACAAAAGTAAGTCATTGACATATTGTCAAAAGGCAAATTTATTTGGAAATGGCAAAGATTGCAAATCTGCAAAATTAACTGCTTATGTCATTATTTACATCTATTTCAAGTTCCTTGGGGTAGGATGTGTGTGTGTGTGTGTGTGTGTGTTATTATTTTTTGTTGTATCTCTAGAGTTCAACACAGTGATTTATACATAGTTGGTGACCCATAGATGAGAGATAGAAGTCAGACAAGGCATAGAACTCCAACTAACTGAGTACCCTCAGTGGGCCTGGTACTGTATATGCATTATTCCATTTATGCTTCATAGCATATTGTTAGGGTAGGCATTGTTATTCCTACTTTTTTGCATGAAATAACTGAGCCCCAGAAAGGTTAAGGTGCACACCCAGATAGTAATGATTCCGAGTCTCTCTGTGGTGCCTCATTACTGATTGCCTAATTTACCCCCAACCCGCCTTGGATCACTGGCTGTTGGACATCAGCCCAGGCATTCCAGACGGTGGACTGGAAGTCTTAATGTAGCTCCTGACCTGGTTGGTATTGCTTTAGGAGACACACAGGTCCAAGACTCTGAGGGCCCCTCTGTAGAGCCAGGTTGGGAGAACTGGGGAGTAGAGTCAAAGGAAAAAGTCCCTTCCATGATGCCATCACTGGGCAGGAAGTTTACAAAAGATGCCCCAGATGGATGCTGCCCTTACGGAGCCTCCAGTTTTCTTAGGAAACAGGATTGACACGAATAAGCCAAAGCACAAACAGTAGTAGGCAGGAATAATGTGACCAAACAGAGTGTTTTGTGTTATGGACATGTTGCAGGTGGAAATGTCCATGTGAGCTGGACAGGAAGGGGACTTC